TGGTTTCCAGTTTTGACTCCTGCTTGGTGTCCGGTTTGCGGTCCTGCATCGACTCCTGCTTGGCATTTTGCTTTGACTCCTGCTTGGTGTCCGGTTTGATGTCCTGCTTCGACTCCTGCTTGGTGTCCTGTTTTGACTCCCGCTTGGTGTCCGGTTTGCGGTCCTGCTTCGTTTCCTGCTTCGAGTCCCGCTTGGTGTCCGGTTTGCTGTCCTGCGTCGACTCCTTCTTGGCGTCGTGCTTCGACTCCTGCTTGGCGTCGTGCGTCGACTCCTGCTTGGCGTCGTGCTTCGACTCCTGCTTTTTCTTGGGAGAGCGCGCCCTCGGCAGCGGAGACACAGAGGTCTCCTCTGGCTGGGCAATGCTGCGGTTCCTGAGGGTTCGACCACAAAAGTTCTCATCCAATCCATTGAGCCCTACTGATGACCTTGTGACACGCGAAGAACGGGACGCGGCCATACTACGGCGGGTGCCTACTGTCTCCTCATCCTGGTGCTCTCTCCTCTGCAGCAGAATGTGGGCACCTGGAAGACACAAACAGATACAGGGACTTCATGTCAATAAAATGCATGAAAACCAACTGTGGAATTAACACTACACGTACAGCTTTGACAAGCTTCAATGACTAGTCATGCTAAAAATGAATGCTGTGTTTAAAGTATTGAGCCTAATTAATTCATTTCTCAGTTCATACCAGAGAGGCATTGATTTACTTTGTCATTGTAACTAAGCAACACCTTCTGCCAAAGGCAAATCTGCTAGTCTTAAATCAAGTCTGTACAAAATTATATACATGTTAAAGGAGGAACACTAAAGGTTGGATCTTTCATCTAACCTAACTGACTAAATACATTCTCAGAGGTTTTGTGCAGGCTTGATAACTAAAATGAAAATGTGACAATAGAATAATCCAGGGTAAGGCAGCAAGTAATTTTCAGAACTATAAAATATGAACAAAAGTCACACAGAAACGGTGCAGTTATTAATTTCCACCCAGCTGACACAGTATTCAGTAGCCAACCTCCCCAGACACTTCGGCTACACTCACATTGCTCAATTCTGATGTTTTTGCCCCGTGTGCTACAATTTTATTGCGTGGTTGTTCACATCGTAATTTAAATGCAAACACCATTTAACTTCCATGGGAACAATCTACCCTGAAGTGATCCGGAGGAAAAGAAAAAGACGTGACATGACACACAAAGCGCACCGTGTTTACGGAAGTAAATATGGATGCTACACAAGTCAGCATGTCTGTATCAATTCTGATGGTGATGTGTAATCCACTAAATTATTATTTGCCTTGCTCGTTTAGTCTATCGTTTACATTTAATCTTGCAGCTTCACGTCAGGTAGTGATGTGCTGAAAGTAGAGCGAAGAAAGAAACTCAAGTTCTGCTCCAATGACACTTGTATTGATGCAATCGCGTACAATTGTTGGTATCAACCATATGTTGGTTTGAACTCTCAGTCATCCAGCAAATGGCAAAAACAAAAAGTTAAATAAAACAAAGAATCTATAGTAGAGGTTTCTCTTCCCATCCAAGGAGCTTTAGAAATTTAAAACTGGAGAGTGCAGGGTTCCAAACTGCATCACATTGGTATCAATAACAAAAATCAATATCAGGATTGATCCGCAACATCGCTGGTCAGACTGAGGTGGCTTTGAAAAACATTGGACATGTATACAATTTAGTACCACAAGAAAAGTGACCTAGGTCAGATTAATTAAAAAATGGATTCATGACATTCAGACAAAAAATAAAAGCAGATCTGAGCTACTTTTGCCTGCTGGGTGAGCGTAGCTTTAATTTCACTCTCCACATTCTCCATCTCTTCCAGGAAGATGCCAACATTGTTACAGCAAGTGCATATTTATGTTCTCTCTGCAGAGATTACCGCTCATCCTGCGTAAAGCTCATGTAGTTTACAAGTTGACTGATATTCGACGCAAAAGCTACACTGTCTTTCTTACATCAAATTCAGCTGCAGACTTTGGTTAGTCATGACGCTGTAAATTTCTTGTGCCAGAAGGTCAACAGGCTGCGATCCTTTCCAAGATTTTTGAGAACATACAACAATTGAAACGCTTAAAGACCTTAAATTATAAACAAAGCATGACAATGAACTTCCTACCATGATTAAAGTAGCAGCAAAGCCTTTGAATAGCCCCTCTGAGCCTCGCTACAATATCCTGCTGAAGATGATGTACTAATGTAAACAACACCCAACGGTAAATGCTTCTACGCAGTAAGTAATAAAAGGTCATGGATTTTACTCAAGCAGCATTAAGAAAACTTTTTTATAACTTAAGCCAAGTTTAACAACAATTTAGGAACCAAATACACATATACACCCAGGTAGTTTTTGAAACCTTCTGTCAGACTCCTCAGATTATATAAAAAAGGTCAAAACATGGGGGAACACAACAGTTATGAAAAGCACATTTGCAGTGTAGCTTTCATCCAATCAGAGATAAAGTTGAGTTGATATAGTAAGAATGTAACATTTAGCTAAATGAAGGTAAATGAAAACTTGTGATTATTAAAAAAAAAAAATGCTTTCCTGCTGGTTACACACAATTATGTATCCAGGAGATTGACGGGCACACAGCAAGGTTGTCCATGAAGCATCTTCAAGAATAACAACAAAGTCCACGCTCAATAATCCAGATATACAATCCAACATTTTTCAGTCAGGTCATCTGGACAGTTTCTTTTTTTGTGCTGAAACGTTTCGCCTTTGATCCAGAAGGCTTCATCAGTCAAGGAAACACACAACACAAAACTGATTCTTCCCCAAACAGCTTACTCCAAAGTGGAACAAAC